CTCCCAGGGACCCCCCAAAACTATTCAAACTATTCAAACTATTCAAACTATTCAAACTATTCAAACTATTCAAACTATTCAAACTATTCAAACTATTCAAACTATTCAAACTATTCAAACTATTCAAACTATTCAAACTATTCAAACCCCCAGGGTTTGAATAGTTTGAATAGTTTGGATAGTTTAGGGCCCCAGTTCGGACCCCCAAACTATTCAAACTATTCAACCCCCCCCCCCCTCCTCTCCTCCCAGGGACCCCCCAAAACTATTCAAACTATTCAAACTATTCAAACTATTCAAACTATTCAAACTATTCAAACTATTCAAACTATTCAAACTATTCAAACTATTCAAACTATTCAAACTATTCAAACTATTCAAACCCCCAGGGTTTGAATAGTTTGAATAGTTTGGATAGTTTAGGGCCCCAGTTCGGACCCCCAAACTATTCAAACTATTCAAACCCCCCCCCCCCTCCTCTCCTCCCAAGGACCCCCAAAACTATTCAAACTATTCAAACTATTCAAACTATTCAAACTATTCAAACTGTTCAAACTATTCAAACTATTCAAACTATTCAAACCCCCAGGGTTTGAATAGTTTGAATAGTTTGGATAGTTTAGGGCCCCAGGCCGGACCCTCCAAACTATTCAAACTATTCAAACTATTCAAACCCCCAGGGTTTGAATAGTTTGAATAGTTTGAATAGTTTGAATAGTTTGAATAGTTTGAATAGTTTGAATAGTTTGAATAGTTTGAATAGTTTGAATAGTTTGAATAGTTTAGGGCCCCAGGCCGGACCCCCCCCCCCAGGGTTTGAATAGTTTGAATAGTTTAGGGCCCCAGTTCGGACCCCCAAACTATTCAAACTATTCAAACCCCCCTCCGCCCTCCTCTCCTCCCAGGGACCCCCCAAAACTATTGAATAGTTTGAATAGTTTAGGGCCCCAGGCGTGACCCCCCAAACTATTCAAACTATTCAAACCCCACTCCCCCCCCCCCAACAAAAGGACGAATCATCACATTATACACAAAGGTTCCTGCCTCATATATATATATATATATACATTTTTTATATTTATATTGTTATTGATTTATTTGTTTATTTATTTATATTTATTTAGTTATTTATATTTATATATATTTATATGATAGAGAGGGCTTAGGTTCAGGGGGGGTTTGCAGCCGCAAACAGTGAACCCTGAGTTTTCGGGGTTCAGGCTCAAGGGGGGGTTTCGGGATTGAGGGCTGACAGCCCCAAATCGCCGGAAGGGTGGGTGTCCCAGACCCAGAGAGGTTGCATGGCGGGTGCCTCAGGGCCTACCGTGTCCACACGGACCGTGTAGGCTTTGTGGTAAGGGTTTAAGGTTTAGGGTTTAGGGTTTAGGGTTTAGGGTCCAGGGTTTAGGCTCAAGGTCTAAGATTAAGCGGTCAAACTTGTGCTTACCCACGTGTCCATCATCGTCCTACGTTCATAAGTTAGCATCTTCGAGAGGCACCATGTTGCTGGGAACTTCAAACACACCTATGCTGTACTTGGAACAAACTGAGAGTATCTGCAATACAACACGTACAAGGGAACGCTGGTAAGAACGACAAGTTTTCCTTCTGCTTAGAATATTAATGGCAAAGCAAGGCTTTTAAGATTACGAGATGAAACCTTTCATCTTTTTCAGGCAGAAACAGAGTGGTTTTGATGGTTGGCATCCTCAAGACAGGAACACATCAACCCATATATACATATGTAGCATATATGTATATATAGTGTAATTTGCGGTAAAGACAGGTGTCAAACAAACACAACCCACAAATCAAAACGGGTCTGGGACTTAGGGCTTAGGGCTTAGGGCTTAGGGCTTAGGGCTTAGGGCTTAGGGCTTAGGGCTTAGGGCTTAGGGCTTAGGGCTTAGGGCTTAGGGCTTAGGGCTTAGGGCTTAGGGCTTAGGGCTTAGGGCTTAGGGCTTAGGGCTTAGGGCTTAGGGCTAGGGCTTAGGGCTTAGGGCTTAGGGTTTAGGGAACCTTAAACTTCAAGACTTGTCCCCGAGCGGCAAAAGCTGGCAGCCAGCATCCAGGGAGTAGCTGGAGCCCGTCCGAGGCAAGGGGTGGCCCTTCACCCCACCTCGCAAACTCTCCCCCATGGGCTTAGGTTTAGGGTTTGGGGCGGATTAGGGTTTAGGGCTTAGGGTGTCGGGTTTAGGTTTTGGGCTTAGGGTATTTTGGGTTTAGGTTTGAGGGGCTCTCCACACTCCGAACCCGCTGAGCCTGAGGCGTTGCAGTCTCAAAAGCCTCCTGGGCCCTCTTCCGGGGGTGATCACAGAACTTCAAGAAGAGCAATACAAGAACGTCGCAGCAATAGAGAACGCCGGCAAAAGGTCTGTAAAAGGCACCGGCTCTCGAAAGGCCGTGGAACTTGCAAAGGGTGGCTTCGCCAATGCGTGTCTATGGTGCACTCTAAGGCGAACCTCCTCTGAATCCCCCGAAGCATCATCCCTCCCGTAACTGTTGGATGATCCCCACTGTGTTCCTGAAAGCCCGTCAGAGGACCTCCGGACACGAGCGGCAGCACGAAGTACCGGAAAGGAGCCGCGGAACGCAAGCCGCCCCCACACTTGCAGCAGGCCTTCACAGAGTGGGGCAAGGATGCACAGCTCAGACGCCCCAAAAAGGAGTTCACTACAGTGTGTTGCCGGCCCGGATATCTCCAAAGTTTTCCAAGTTCTGTGACTTCTATAACCCAAGAAGGGGATCATGAACCCCAAGCCCGAAAACCCGAAAATGTGGAAAACTCGCCATGTTTCCGCCCGCAAGGATGCTTCCAGTTGCAGTGGCCTTGTTCGATGAAAGGCCGCGGAAGCCTCGGCACATTTGTGCGCCAAGCACTGCACGGGGCTTACGCTTCAGGGATTCTGCGATGAGAGTTAGAAAATGGGTAGTTCTCGAATTTGGGGTCCTTTCTTGGGTCCTGCAAGTAGCGCGGCACCCTTGAAAAAATAGACCGAAAGGGCCCCCCCCCCCTAAGTTGAAAGAAGTTTTGGGGCAAGGGTGGGTTCTTGCACGTAGCCAACCATGTCTGTGTAGGGCTGGGGCTGTTCTAATATGTGGGGACGACAACTTCATCATCATGCAGTTCTGGACTTCTGGACCTCGAGTCCCCACACCTTTACAACAGACTCCCAAAACTGCCAACCCTAAACCCTAAACCCTAAACCCTAACCCCTAAACCCTAAGCCCCACCTCAACCCGAAGCTCTCGCCAGGCTGCGCGCGTCGGAGCACTGTGAGCGGGGCACAGCGAAGCAGTTGGCGCCGCTGGCATCAGACCAATGAGGCAAGTCCTCGGTTGACTTCGTAGGGTTTAGGGTTTAGGGTTTAGGGTTTAAGGTATAGGGTTTAGGGTTTAGGGTTTAGGGCTTAGGGTTTAGGGTTTAGGAATTCTGCCCAGAAAAGGCCACATTAAGGGAGACACCACGAATCCACTTGAACCCCATATGCCCCCGGCACAGTCTTGAAACCGAGTTCCTTTGTAGTTGCAGCTGGGTGGGGTCGGATGTAGACTGTCGGTTCCATGTACTTCTTCCTCTGCGAAATGCACCAAGGGTCGCTGGTACACGGGCTGTTTGCTCCCAAGCCCTGAGACCTGACCCTAAACCCTAAACCCTAAACCCTAAACCCTAAACCCTAAACCCTAAACCCTAAACCCTAAACCCTAAACCCTAAATACCCTAAACCCTAAACCCTAAACCCTAAACCCTAAATACCCTAAACCCTAAACCCTAAACCCTAAACCCTAAACCCTAAACCCCTTTTGGGGGACAAGTCCAAGGGTCCATGCAAGGCTGGCAAGTCCCCTCTTGGAGGACATAGCCTCCAAGGCACGCCGCACAGCCATCGCCTGCCAGCAGACAGGTGTGGATTAGGGTTTAGGGTTTAGGGTTTGGGGTTTGGGTTTTGGGGGTCTCGGGTTTAGGGTTTAGGGTTTAGGGTTTAGGGTTTAGGGTTTAGGGTTTAGGGTTTGGGGTTTTGGGGTTTTGGGGTTTAGGGTTTAGGGCTTAGGGGTTGGGGTTTCGGGTTTAGGGTTTAAGGTTTAGGGTTTAGGGTTTAGGGTTTAGGGTTGAGGGTCTAGGGTCTAGGGTCTGGGGTCTAGGGTCTAGGGTCTAGGGTCTAGGGTCTAGGGTCTAGGGTCTAGGGTCTAGGGTTTAGGGTCTAGGGTCTAGGGTCTAGGGTCTGGGTTTGGGTTCCGCATGAAAAGGGTCTTCAGAAAGGCTTCTCCAATCTCAGATGACGGAGACTGCTCAAACCCGAAAGTCTCCAAGCTCAACAATTTATATTTTAAAAAAACCACAAAAGGGGCTACCTTGCTAACAACCCTAAACACGAAACCCTAAACCCAAGAGGCCCAAAACTAAACCCTAAACCCTAAAAACCTAAATCCTAAACCCTAAACCCTAAACCCTAAACCCTAAACCCAAGAGGCCCAAAAGCACGTGTCGGGGGGGGCCTTGCTCTGTCGCCTCGGCGCACCCGGAGCACCAGGACGCCGTGGCTGGGCAGCAGACCTTTCCTGCCCATTGGGGTTTAGGGTTTAGGGTTTAGGGTATAGGGTATAGGGTTTAGGGTTTAGGGTTTAGGGTTTCGGGCTTATGGAAATTGTATAGGGCTTGGGTCCCAATAACGTTTTGAGCGAAAGTTTTGAGCGAAAGTTCTGAGCGAAACGCTTTGACCGAAACGTTTGCTGTTTAGATAAGGACTTCATTTATGGGGGAGGGGAGGGGGAGGTTGGGGAGGGCTGGGGGGAGGGGGGCAGAGCAAATTAAGTATTTGGAATCCCAGGCGCTGTGGATGAATGTACTTAAACTCTGCTTGTCAGCTGTTTAGACAAAGAACTAAGGAAAACTCAGAATGATACCACATACACTTTCTATGTATTTGTCTTGAAGGTTTTGGGTTGTGGGCTTAGGGCTTAGGGTTTAGGGTTTAGGGTTTAGGATTTAGGGCTTTCGGTTTAGGGTTTAGGGTTTAAGGTTTAGGGTTTAGGGTTTAGGGCTTAGGGTTTAGGGTTTAGGCCTCAAATGACACCATCTTTGGGCGTTGAAGTGTTTGACTTGTTTGTTCTCTCTCATTTTCTTTTCATTCTTTTCTGGGGGGGGGGGGGGTAGGGGTTTAGGGTCAAGGGTTGAGGTCTTGGGGGGTTTGTGGTTTCGCGTTTAGGGCGGTCGAGTCGTGCTGACACGAGAACTTACGCCTTTAAGAGCCTCCAACTCAAGGGAAGCGCCTTCACCTTTCGGGTCCCGCAGCCGTCCGCACTGCCCAGCGAAATACACCTCAGCCCTAAACCCGAACCCCCGCACCCTCAACCCTCAACCCTCAACCCTCAACCCTCAACCCGCAACCCTCAACCCTCAACCCTCAACCCTCAACCCTCAACCCTCAACCCTCAACCCTCAACCCTCAACCCTCAACCCTCAACCCTCAACCCTCAACCTCAGCCCTCAGCCCTCAGCCCTCAGCCCTCAGCCCTAAACCCTAAACCCTAAACCCTAAACCCTAAACCCTAAACCCTAAACCCTAAACCCTAAACCCTAAACCCTAAACCCTAAACCCTAAACCCTAAACCCTAAACCATGGGAAGGATCCTGCACTCGTAACCCCAACAAACCCGAAACCCGAGACCCCACACCCGAAACTTAAACCCAAAACCACCCAAAACCACCCAAAACCACCCAAAACCACCCAAAACCACCCAAAACCACCCAAAACCACCCAAAACCACCCAAAACCACCCAAAACCACCCAAAACCACCCAAAAACACCCAAAAACACCCAAAACCAGCCAAACCACCCAAAACCACCCCAAACCACCAAAAACGGCCTCCACCTGCGCTGGATGGCCAGATGGGTGTGCCCTCCCCGCCGCTGCACCAGCTCCAGGTGCCATCCGACAGGCTGACATTGCTCTCCTGGGTTTTAGGGCACTCAGGGTTTAGGGTTTAGGGTTTAGGGCTTAGGGCTTAGGGCTTTAGGGTTTAGGGTTTAGGGTTTAGGGTTTAGGGTTTAGGGTTTAGGGTTTAGGGCTTAGGGCTTAGGGCTTAGGGCTTAGGGCTTAGGGCTTAGGGCTTAGGGTTTCAGGTTTAGGGTTTAGGGCTTGAAAGCCTCGGGTTTAGGGTTTAATTTGGTCACCTGGTAAGTTTAGGACGACGAGTGCTACTAGTCCTGTCTTGCTGTTTTTGCGATGATTTTTACGTATTGCATGTTTTAAGTCTCACTATCATCATTCTCACCATGACTGCTATGATCGCCATGAGCTGCTATGATAACAACTACAACCAGTACTGCTGACGCCACACGTCTTGCGCAGATTCCTCTTGTTACCCTCAAGAGAGCAGGTCCAAGCATCGATCGGGTCCAATCCAAGGCTGTGGCCCGTGCAGCGCTCGAAGTCCCCGCCAGCCCGCTTTCGCTGCACGAGGCTGCTTAAGGCGTCCTCTGGGCTCCGGATGCTCCGCTTACCTACGGAATCTGGGGTAGTTCTCTAAATGATTGCTCCCTTTGGGTACCCTTAATGAAAAGGCTCCGTCTTAGGTCCCCCAAAAAAAGGGCCGGTAACTGGGAGGAAACCCCCCCCCTGTCGGGAAACATCAAAAGGAACTCAACGGGCGAATTCACTTCGAGGATGCGCGCGCGCCAGCGGCGACTTGGAGAGCTGGAGCTGCTGCTGGGTACATGGGAAGGGTGACCATAGGGAAGATAGCAATAGCAAACAGTGATCGCCAAGATGGAACGCAAAGAAAGTCACAAGAAACATTGCGAGTTTCCGAGTGACAACACGAGTATGCAGCGCAACACTCGTAACAATAGCAAGAGCAGTTGCAGGGGGTTTGAGCACACAAGCGGCAGTCACGCTGAAAACGCTGACGTCGCATCGTTTTCAGCCCGACGAGTCAGGGACCCACTTCGGCGCCTCGGCAACCACGGCCTGCACGATTGCCACGGCGCAGGACACCAACCCAGCAAGAGGCCGCATGCCGGAACCATCCCTGCGCCACACGTGTGTCTACTTCCTGAGGAGCTGCAGCCAAAGTAGCGGCCCCATAAACCCTACGGCACACCATGGACGAGAGGGTTGCGCCAGGCGGCGTCTACTTTGGAGAGTATGGTGAGTGCGTGCCAGAAATCACCCGACACATCCATGGCAGAAGAGCAACGAAGCGCAATAGTCGGTATGCAACTGACCTTTCTGTGCTTGGCAAGGCTTGAAACTCTCTTTGCCTTGTGCCTCCCTATTCGGGGGGCCAGCATCTGACTTCTTTGAAGTGCTTGTGTGCAATATGTACAAGCGGCGCAGCGGGGCTCGCGGGGTTGCAGGGTCGGGTTTAGGGAAACCCCGAACCGTCTAAACATACCTAGGCCCTAAGTACCTAAGCCCTAAGCTCTAGAAGCCAACAGGGCCTTTAAAAACCGGATTGAAAGCTATGTTTACGTCTACGTGGACCAGAAACAAGACAGAAGACCCTTTTCACGACAATGGAAGCCAGCCGGAACCTCATTTCCAAGTCCCCATAGGTGACACGAGCCATTGGCAAAGACCTTGCACTCAGCAGTCACGGCCTCAGCTTCCAGGGTTTGGTTCGGGGAACCTCGAAAAGTTCTACGTGCCCCGTACATGTTGCTTCTGTTTCCGAAGTCGCTTCTCAACCCTAAGCCCAATGAAGGGCTTAGATCCACCTTGCACGACCGCGCTTCAACGCCAAGGCAGAAGACCCTCTTCACGACTGTGGAAGCCTGGTATGGCAGTGTCTGACGATCGTGGCCCAGAAAAAACACGCGATCTCGGACACGGTCAAAACAACGGGGTCCCGCTTGTACAGGAACCCAAATGTCGAGACCCTTCTGTAAGAACCCTACAAAAGTCCTTAGAACCCTACAAAAGTCCTTTAAGCCTTGCAGCCCCAAGACTTTACCGACCCTGCGCCCCAAGAAGCCGCAACGCCCAAACCCTACAATCCCTACACCCTTGACCCCGACCTAAACCCTAAACCCTCAACTCTAAACCCGAAACCCGAAACCCTAAACCCTAAGCCCAAACCCCTCAACCCCGCCACGCCCCTCAGGGAGGCGGCATGACGGCGGGCAGCGCGGACAGTCGGAGAGACTAGGTCGAGGCATGGTCTGGGTGTGTCGGGTCCGAGTAGCAGTTGCGTTGAATGTTTGGAGCTCTTGACGCTCTGTCAGGGAGGTTCTTCTTCAGGTTGGTGGAAAGTGCATGATTCGCGTGCGGCCGAGGGTTAGGTTGAGGGATGGTGGGCGCGCCTCTTGAAAGAGCTGAAGTATATAAGGCAAGCCCTTTGCAAAACCACGAGGAACTGAGCGCCGTGGCAAGCCACAAATTCAGGTTCCATACGACCACAAGACAAAACCTAAACATCCTGCTTGCCAATCAACCCTTAACCCTAAACCCCCAATCACCCTGCTTGCCAATGACATCAATGCCCCCGTGCCCCTATGGGTTCTGTCCTCAAGCTGCCTGAGATTGGCTTTGGAGATCACCCGCAACTTGGACGGTCAAAATTTGGGTTGAAGATTTAGGGTTCAGGGTTTAGGGTTTAGGGTTTAGGGCTTAGGGCTGGTTAGGGCTATTATGGCGTCTGGGAAGCCTCCTGAGTGCCACCGGGCCACCTGGTATCGCAGGCAGTAGAAGCCTCTGGGTGCATAGCCTGGACTTTCCACAAGCTGCGGGCCGTATGGGTTCGAGTCTCGGGTTGTAGGGTTTCGGGCTTGGAGTTTAAGGTTCAGGTCATACTGCTTGCATTGCAAAAGCCTGGCCTTGAAATTCCTTGGGGGCCTATGCCTCACGGAGTCTGGCGCTCAGGGTTCAGGGTTGCGCCCCCCTATGGGGATGTGAACTGACGCACCTTTGGATACCCGTTTGGACACCCATATGAATACGTTTACACCTGCACATCGACACCCCATTTCAACCCCCGAAAGCTCTCAAAGACCTCTACACACCTCAGCAACTTTTTGACACAAGAAAGGGGCGCCAGTACTCTCAGGCTTGGCCATCCGGCACGGGGTGTCCATGGTCACGGCCTCTTACGTGAGCCCTGAGATGAAGGCGGGATCTTTTCCGAAGGGTGTCTGGCTGCCAACCAGTGGAAAATCTGTTTGCAGCGGCACTTCTTGTAAACTGCACGCTGTTGAGGTGAGCTGGAGAACTTACACCCAGGTGGTCCCTCCAAACATGAGTATGCGATATCGCCCACTCCACCTTCAAGTGGCTTTCGCTTGGAGCGCAGAGTTGTAGCTTGTGTGTTTCACGGCACCTCGTAAGGGACAAGATGCTTGTTGAGCAACCCATGAAAGGGGCAGCGTCATGACACCAAAAAGCTACTTGATCTTGGGTCCACAGTTGCCCTCCAGCTGGGCAAAGCGGTTGGCTTTGGCTCAAGATGAACAAAGCAATGTGTGTGTGTGACTGACGGACGCAAAGTACAAGGATCTAGCTTTCAGTCAACCGAGATGCGGCGGCACAGCAGCACCATTGCTCACAAATTCTTATGAAAACCCAAAGCCCGAGCTGCGGACGAGTTTAGGGCTTCGAGCCAGGCTTAGTGGTTCATGGTTAGGGTTGGGTGGGTTTCATTGCTTATGGACAGGTGGTGAGTGAATGCTATTGAACAGCTACAGCCCGTGCACCAGAATCCAGATACGGGGCCTCAAATCAGCTAAACCTGCATCGGGACCTAATTCTACGGGAATTCAATCGCAGAATTACTCCAATTTCACACTGCCATGCTACAATAGCTGTACGTACAGACTTCTGAGACTCCTGAAGCTCCTGCCAGAAGGCACTTCGTGAGCAACCGTCTCACGCGCGGAGCCTTCTTTGAACTTCCTTGCTTGGCAATGTACATGGTTCTTGGCAAATGCTGGCTGGATGTATAAATGTTGCGGAGGACCCGAAACCGAAGCCACGCACCCAGGCACAATACCTGAAGCGGATGCCTTTTCGAATTTATTCGAATATATGATAACGTGGCACTGATTTGAAACTCAACGTTGGAGCAAGAAGAACCTTACCCTCCGCATCCCCACGCCTTAAACCCTGCGTGGCTCATTCCTGAATTTTGGACAGGGTCGACAGCGCTTGGGTCTGGAAGCCAGCTCAGCCAAATCATCGGCCTGCCGCAGTGCTTGAGGCATGAACTTGTTCGGCTTAAGGTTGCTATCGCTCACGCAGGACCGTCGCAGCCGCCTACAAAGCAGACAAGAAGGCACTGGGCGCCCCCCCCACCATCATACACAGCTTGCTTCTTCGCACAAAGCGCTCCCCCCCAGCTCTTCGCATATGCTCTTTAAGTTTGGGATCGGGGGTTTAGGGTTTAGGGTGATTCAGGAGTTTTGATGGGACATGGGGCGGGAGAGTGGATCAGTATCATCCTAGTATGAGACGGCAGGCTCTTCTCAACGCTGCCACCGAGCCTGCAATTGGCAGGTGCGTTGAAAATGTTGAAAGCACACCGACGCAGTCTTCGATGGTTACGGGAAAGGTTTTTAAGTTGTTGGGGACCGTTTGGGTTGTTGAATCCTTCTACCCCCCATCTCCGGGTGTACACGCCCCAAAAATGAAACCGGTTGCTCATGGCGGCTCTGGCAGCCGAATCGTCGACGAGGACAGCTTTTCGACATTTTTTTTGGGGCCGCCATAACCCTCCAAATAGGCCCCGGAACCTCTCTGCCTAAACCGAACCCAGCTTTGGGTGGGGGGGGGGGGAAGCTTTCCAGACCTGAGGGTTTCGAGCTGTTCAACCTGGGGGTTGGTGCCCTAAACCTGTGGATGGCGGACCGCAAACCAAGCCCCTCCTCGAAGTCCTGGGTTCCTGGGGCCGCGAATTCGGCAACAGCTGATGTCCAAAACCCAAAGCCCTAACACTTCAAAGCTGTCCGTGCCCTAAACCGAGCGGCGCTTTCACAACCCCACGCAAGCACATGAGTATCCAAGAGTGGCCTCTACAATCTGCACCCTTATCACTGGCCTAACCCAAAACCTTTTCAACCCGGTTATGGGTTTAGGCTGTCGCCGTCTCCGGCTTCTCCATAAAATCCAATGGCAAAGGCTCCCACCGTGCCATACCCTCGGCGAGACCCGTGACCAGCTCAGGTTTTTTTTATTCTATTTACAAGATATCCTACAGCAAGATTATTCTAGTGTTATAATTCTCATTCATACTATGGCTAAATCGCTACACGATTCCATTGTATTAGTATATCCTTACATTTCTGGGAGTTTTTGCCGCCCGCCTAGCCGCGGACTGGGAGGCACAATGTAGGCAGGAGAAGTCCTATAGACCTTAAACCACTCACCTTACCTACTAACCCACACTTGAGGAGCTGTTGGTCGGGCCAGGAGTGTCGGTCGAGACCCCAAGCCCTTTCTGGCTCTTGGCTTTCTGCGCTTAGGGTGTTTAGGGCACATGTCCTTCGGACTCTGGAAGCTTTGGGAGATGCTTCCGGGCTTGGATTTTTTCTCCTCATATTTTTTCCGCTTTTGTTTCCTTGTTTTTTCCGTTTTCTTGTCGGGGACCTCTTGGCTTCCCCCCTCTCTAGGAGAAAGCTGCGTTCCCTCAATATTTTCACCATTTCCCGAAAGCATCGCGAAGGGTTCTTCCGTGCGGAGCCCTCTGACCCAACAACATAGTGCAGTGCATAGAGTGAAGTGCATAGAGTGAAGTGCATGGAGTGAAGTGCATAGAGCGAAGCGCATAGAGTGAAGTGCATAGAGTGAAGCGCATAGAGCGAAGTGCATAGAGTGAAGTTGATAGAGCGAAGTGCATAGAGTGAAGTGCATAGAGCGCAGTGCATAGAGTGAAGTGTAGAGCGCAGTGCATAGAGTGAAACGCATAGAGTGAAGTGCATAGAGTGAAGTGCACAGAGCGAAGTGCACAGAGTGAAGTGCATAGAGTGAAGCGCATAGAGCGAAGTGCATAGAGTGAAGTTGATAGAGCGAAGTGCATAGAGTGAAGT